AACTAGATATTCTTACAAGCATTCCTAGGGCTACACTTTAATTTCTGTTTTGTAGTATTCAGGACTGGAACTCATGTAAAGTTTTATCACATAAGGCATGCTCAGATATTGATTCATAACTCTATTTAAAAAATTTCCCAAGTAGTCTGCAGTGAGATAAGAATTTTTACACAATTAAGAGAAGGCGTATTGAAAATCAATTATTTTCACTAGATTTTTCAGTTTCCTTAAATGAGAAGAAAAGTGACTTTTATAAATAAGGGGTGGACCACAATTTCCTCTTAACCCCAAAGATATGACTAAATCATTGTGAAAAGATGATGAAATTTATTTCTTATATGTAAGAAAACATTGCATTTTCCCATTATCATAACTTACTAGCCTACAAAGAAACTTTAAATGGAGTCAAGAAACAAGAGTCTACTCCAGAAAGTGAGTGTCTATGTTACTTTTTGTGTGGAGCCCTAGCTATGCTCCCCAAGCTGAGCTTGCAGGGAAATTGTGTACCTAGAAATTGTCTGGCTCTTTAAAGACTTAAACCAAACTCCTGGAATTATATCCAGAAGCAGATGGCTGACCAGCTTCCCCTGTAGTTGTTTCTCTGCTGACAAAAGCAACTGCACAACTCAGGAGAAATATGCTTTAAAATGAGTAGAGTATAGCCATGTACCCATGACCAGCAAAGTTGCACAAGTGTTTCAAATGTTTTTAGTCCTGAACAAAATCTTAGGTAGGAATCTCTGCTTGCAGTATGGGCAGGGGATTCATGCTTCATTTCCATAGAGAATATGCTAATTATTTTCTCTGCTTTCAAGCCAGCTCCCTCGTTGATTTTTCTCATTTATTTTAGTGGCAGCAGGACAATGTAAGGTTGAGTATAAACACTGGAATCAGACCACCTGAGTTAGAATTTGACCTTGGGCAAGTCATCTAACTTCTGGAAATTCAGTTTCTTCATCAGTGAAGTGGGGAATGTAATAATACTTCACAGCACTGTGTTAAAGATTAAATAACACTATCAATTGAATGTGCTTAGCACAGAAATCTAGCATTTGATGTGTTCCACAAATGTTTGGTATTGTTACCAATGGCACCACCATTTTCCAAATCTTGGATTCCCAATCATCCAGAACAGAATTATTTCTTCTCCCTCATATGATTTATTCCAGCACCAGACTTTGTAAAATATGGCTCCTAAACATCTATGGAAGTTGTCCCTTTATTTTCAATATTGCAGTCATCAACGTATTCCACCTCCTCTCACATAGACTGTGGGAGTGCCTCCTAACTCGTTTCCCAATACATCTTGTTGTCATTTTAATTTTCCTAAATAGAATGCTGAGTGTGAAGCCATTGCAGTAGAGCTTGGAATTTAAGCTTTCTTGGTAGCACTAGCTGTGGATGCAAGTGCTCTGCTGGATTGTAGAATTGCTATATCCCACTCTACAGCATGGGACCAACATTTCTGCTACAAAAACTGGAGAGCTCATAACAAATGGTATTGCCATGTGTGCAGTGGTGACATGGTTTACAAGGGCAAAGTTGTATCTGCTTAGTCACCACTGTATTCCCATGGCTGATTACAGCAGAAGGCAGTAGACCCTTGGTAAATATTTGATAAACAAATAAATGAGTTAATAAATTAAATAGTATCACAGATGCCACCAGTAGCCTTATTTTTGTGAGGTTGAATTTTGGGTCATTCAAAGAGAGTTGACAACGTTGCTTGGCATTCAATTGTTTGCCATATTCCATTTAGCTCAAGTTGTGATAATTTAGTAATCATTTGGCATGTGAGAATAAGTAATTCATTTATAGACTTAAATGGTGTGGATTCTGACAAGATTAGCAACATTAGTTGGTAGTATTTGTTTTATGTATTTGGGTACTCCTATATTAGGTGCATATATATTGATGAGTGTAAAATCCTCTTCTTATATTGATCCTTCTGTGATTATATAGTGACCTTCTTTATTTTTCTTTATGGCCTTTGTTTTAAAGTCTACTTTGTCTGATATGAGTATTGCCACTCTCACTTTCTTCTCTTTTCCATTTGCATGAAATATATTTTTCCATCTCCTCACTTTACAATCTATGTGTGTCCTTTGCCCTAAGGTGGGTCTCTTGTAGGCATCATATTGTAGGCTGTTGTTTTTTTTATCCAGTCTGCCTCTCTATGTCTTTTGATTGGAGCATTCAGCCCATTGACATTTGGGGAGGAAGGAGGGAGAGGGATGGACTGGGAGTTTAGGGTTAGTAGATGCAAACTATTATATTTAGAATAGATAAACAACAAGGTCCTACTGTATAGCACAGGGAACTATATCCAACCTCCTGGGATAAACCATAATGGAAAAGAATATTAAAAAAGAATGTATATATGTGTATAAATGAGCCACTTTGAAGTACAGCATAAATTAACACAACACTGTAAATCAACTATACTTCAATTAAAAAATAGAGAAAAACAACAACAACAAAAACTTTAACTGCAATTGGTATGGCAGCCAGATCCCCACAGTTCCAAAGACAAGAAAGTGAGAGAAATTTATTCTGAGAAACAAGAAGTTGCTGCTGTGAAGAAGCAAGTACAAGAAAAAGATTAATCAATGAGAACCATTAGATGGAAATATGTTCACTATACTGGTTGCAGTCCAATGAGCAAGTAGCAGGTTACATTTTGAAATTTAAAAAAAAATGCAGGAAATATTTGCCTTTCATAAGTGGGCACTAACGATGGGCGTTATTGCTATTCTATGATTCTAACACAAGCATTACATATTTATATTGAAAGGATAGCAGCAATATCGGCTAACTTGAGACCACGCCTATAGCACATAAGTCCAACATCAGCAAAGGCCCTTAGAGATGTATGGGTGACATTCCTAAAATACAGCATGGCATTAAGAAACAGAAGATGGCCAAAGCTTTAAAAATTCAACAGAGAAGTTAAATGCTAATTTATGTGACTATTTTTAGAAGTCTGACCTTTTCCAAGATGATCTGTATTCAGAGACTGTGGGGTCTTAAGCAGCTCTAGAAGTTAAAGAATAGTTGAAGGATAAAAAAATAGATTATCTTTATAACCTTGAAACCTGGCTATGTTACATACTAAAATAAGAATTGTAGCATAACCAACCACTTCACTCTTCTATCCTTTTCATAATTTAAAATGTGTTTCCTCCTGCATTATCCTAAATGATCCTCAAAGCAGCAGGATGAAAATATTTTACCATTCTACTGAGGAGAAAGTGAGGCCCAAGGAGATGAGGTGACTTGCTCAATGTCACAAGCCTAGCAATTAATCATATACTCCATTGGTTGTTATGAGAGTTTGGGTCTATTCATTTTTAAAATAGAAATAATCTTTGCCCCTTCTGTGTGACCACATTTCAGGAAAGATACACTAAAATAATTCATTACTATTCCATCCAGCACGTTGCACTTGGTAGGTAGATGTGTCAGAGCAACCATTGGTTCAACTATCTGTGTGTTACGGATCACAGGGCCAGACTAGCACAGACTCTAGGCTGAATTATCACAAGGGTGATGGCAAACATAAAATAACTGTAAAGAAGTTGAGATTTAGGAAGTTGAGATTTCCTCAGCCTACACTAAAGGTTGCCTCATAAATGTTAAATTATAATGGCCACACTTGAGCAAAAAAATAAGTAAAAGAACATAAAACACCAATGTTTCTAAGCAAACTCATACATCTTGCCCTGTATAAGGCACAGGCTCCCCACTGTTCCCTTCCATCTTCCTTCCCATCTGCAGTTTATCCAAGAAAATGAAGGCTGTTTTCACAAAGTTGCCACAGTGGAAACAAGCTATGCACTTCAGAGCCAAGGAAACCTCAGTGGGGCAAACTACAACCTGGAATTTCTAGGACAGAGGGGTAGTGACTCTCAACATATTCAAGTCATTTTAATAAGTATATGAGTAGACGAGGGATTCTCTAGCACAAGCTGGATTTTTGGGGTAAGTGTTATTATCTTCACAAAACAGACCCCTCTACTGTCTTTGGCAGCAGGACTATTTATAAACCCTTTACCACTACTACCCCTAGTCACCAACCTCCACAGCATGAATTTCATATGGAAAGGTACTCTATCATTGTCACCAACCAGGGAGAACTGACTTTTAAGAAACGGTATGATTACACTGGCTGCTCATGTAAATGTTCCAAAAATGGTTTCTAACTCAGCCCCTTTGAGATTATTGTTTTTTGTTTTTTCACTAGAGCTGGGTTAAAATCTGGCTAAATTTTCTATCTTCTATCTCCAACCACACTTCCACCTCCCTAAACACATAGGTACACACACATCCCTGCTTTTCTCGCTGTGGATTTCACAGCTGGTGGTTGAAAAGAAACAAGTTCTGGGCTGAGACCTTGGTCTGGATTCCCTGGCCTCGGAGAGTGAAAGATCTGAAATATTTCAGGGATTTTCTATGAGCTTTCCATACTCCTCTGTCTCATGTCCTACCTGCAAAATGGGCTTTGAGGAGGCAGGTGTCCTGTATTTCTGATTTAGCATTGCTCTGTGATAGGAAATTAAAATTACAAAACAAAGAGATGTCAAGGAATGAAAAAATATGTTGAGAGAATGAACCAAGCAATTCTAAACGTGCTTCTGAGTGTTTTTTATAAAGGAAGGTATTATTGTAAAGGTACAGAAAAGTCCTGGAACTGTGCTTTCCAGTCCTGGGTGGGTGCAGAGAGGAGGAAGCTTGAACTGGTGCCAAGTTACAGTTCCCTGCCCCCGGGGGGCCAGGTCCAAGATTGAGAAAATAGAATCAAGGACAGGGGCTATTGTGGCCTGTACAGAGGCAGAAAGACACGACACAGCAGGCTTCCTTCCTGTCTTTTTCTTATCTGAGGGAGCAGAGAGCGAGGTGGGAGCACGCCTGGAGTGCAGGTGAGTAGTTTTCAGTCCCAGTCCACTGGCTCCACCCAGTTTCTCTCCTCCCACTGTCAACTCCCACCCCCATTCCAGTACTTGGACACCCTCCCGCTCCTCCCTCGGCCCCTGCTTGGGCCCGCCCACGGTTTCCCACCCAGCTTGTGACTGCGTCATAAGTATACCCAGACCTGGGCTTGCAGTAGTGTAAAAGCAGACGAGGAGAAAGAAGGTGTGGCTAGGGCTAGCGCGATCTTCTTCTCTTCCAACCTGCAGCCCAGGACACTGATTCGAGCAGCGCCTTACCGCGCAGCCCGAAGATTCACCATGGTGAAAATCGCCTTCAACACACCCACAGCGGTGCAAAAAGAGGAGGCGCAGCAAGACGTGGAGGCCCTAGTAAGCCGTACGGTCCGAGCTCAGATCCTGACCGGCAAGGTAGCAATTCCCATTCCACCCCTGACTGCCTGCCAGGGTCGGAAAGGTGGGGTGGGGGTGGTTTGAGGGGAAGGAAGGGGAAAGGTGGGAAAGGACAAAATGAAAGCTGCTGCGGAGTTCCTGTGTTTCCGGCGGTGCTCTCTGTGCTGTCTGTTGGGTTTGCCCGGTCACCCCCACTCTGTCCATTCGCACCACCTTCCGCTTGCGGTTCCCCAAGTCCCTTAGCATCTCCGTGCGTCGCGCCACGTTCCGTGGGTCCCAGCTCACATTGTACATCGCGGAGGGATGTTGGAGGGAGTTTGAGGAGAACTCTTGGGACCAGATGTCACCTTCTCCTGGGGAACATGTGGGTAGCTAGAGATCAAAGAGAGGCACGTCACCCGGTCAGCTCCAGGGGCACACACATCTTCCACAGGGGTGGAGCGGACAAGCAGGGTGAGCAAGGACACGAGATTTAACTCTTCTTTCTTTCCTTTCGACGTGTATGAAGTTCTATGAATCTTAAGGCTTTCTAGGATCCCTGAGTGTTTGTGGAGATGGGGCGGGGGGCAAAAGGCAGCTTTGACTCTATGCGATATGGGTTGGGGCAAGTGTGTGTCTGTGACCGCCCGTGTATATTTTCAGTTTCTCTCTGGTCACAGGCGGTGTTAAGCATTCTGTAAAGGAGCTGTCAAAACTGAAGCTGGTCTTAATTAGATTTTGAGATGTTCACTGTGCCCTCTTACTCCAAGAGCCTTGTATGTTTTCAGAGTGACATTTCCTAAAGAAAACACTCTTCCGTAAAAGAAATTTTGAGGGCTTTTGTTTTTCTCTTTTGTTTTTCTTTTTAGTACAGTACTTCCTTTTTGAGTGATATCCCCTCTGCCTACCCTCCCCCACAGAAAGATCTGCAGCAAGTCCAACCTTGTAATTTAATCTTCTAGCACTGCCAGGAACTGGGGAAATTTTCCCCCCAAAAATGTTAGCCATTGTTCATTTACTCCAATTTCTATCTCCTTTAAACATCTAACACGTTTTTAGTGTTTGTAAACTACTCCTCCTTTTCCTCAGTAAAATTTCAATGTTAAAAGGCACAGTCGTATTTTTTCTTGTTATACAAAATCTGTGCATTGTTGGAGCTTGCAAATCTGCCCTAACTTGTCTTGTTCTCTCTATAAAGTTTAAACTTTTGTGTTCAGAGTGGAGATTTGAAAAGCTCTCTGAGTGAAATGAGAATCCATGTAGTAAAACTGATTATGCACACAATTTGAAAAGCTAATGAGCTTTTGCAGAATTTTTATCATGGAAACTTTCAATAGTTAACCCAGCAATCAAACTAGCTGTTGTGTATTACACATTTCAGAACTCAAAAACACCCCCTTGCATTGTTGAGGTTTTGATTAAATGATAGAAGGTCAAATATGTAATTGTCCTACTTACTTTGTAAGGGAAATATGGCCAGATTTTTTAGGGGAGTTCTAATTAGATGCCAGTAGTTAAATATAGCCGCACAATAATCCTTTATTTTCCCACATCACCACAAACTCCATGACTTGTTGAATTCAGTTAATATGCAAGCAATACTTCTACCAGGCCTGAGGTGTTATGAGGAATAAACAAAAATAAGCATATGGTGGCCTGACCTGGCCACCATAAGACACTGATTTAATAGTACTTGGCACATTGTATTGTGATGTATTGATCAGTTCATCAGAAATTGAACACAACAAAATAGTATGTTGGAGGTTGTGTACAATGACTTTAAAATACAGTTCAGAGGGAAATGAGCTGTGGTGACAGCCCCTACCACACTGAAGTTTGGCAAATTTAAATGAAAAAAAAAAATCCTTATTCCTAGTCCATCATCCATCCATGGGCACTTAGATTGTTTCCATATCTTGCCTACTATGGTGGGAAATTTTATGAAATTGACACTCTAATACTTAGATCTTGCTTAATAATAACCCCCCTGAAATATTGGAAGGAGAAATGAAATTGCAGTGCAGATTGCTATTCTCGTATCTCAATGACAAGAAAAAATAAATTAATTAATTCCTTTGAGAATTTCAAACTAAGTCATTTTTGTGACTTTTAGGAAAGTCACTTCATTTTTCTGGACCCCAATTTAATCGTCCAAAGTATAATTTCTAAGCCCTTAGCTCTAGATTACAGGGATTCAACATCATAATTTATAGGCTTTGTAGTGTTAATCTTAGGTTATTTTTTAAATAAAAATTATTTTAAATTTCTGAAAATTATTGGGACAAGGAAAACCTTCAAGGCTTATAGAGTATTAATGGAGGGTTTGAACTTAAGTAAACGTAGCTAAGAAAATTTGAATACCAAATTTCTTTGAATTTTAAAGAGAAATCATTTTTGAAGCCATTTATGAAATGATTGCCTCTCCTTAGAATCTATGTATTTGCTTTCACCAAATTAATTAAAGTTTAATTCGCATTAAGTAGTTATGGAAAATAGCTAATGGCCAGAAAGACTTAAAGCAATTCTACTTACATACCAGTCTGAATGATTTACCCTCTGATTATAAGAGAATAGATTTGCTGACTTCATTCGTTATACCCTTCAGTAATACTGCTGCTTAGGGCATATTGTGACATAAAAGAATGAGATTGGAGGGCCCCTTGGTCCACTGCCCTGAGAAGAGTACAGAGTTAATTGGTTACTTGTTTGTTTTGGAGTCCCTTGTTCCAATTACTAAACAAATTATGGATTTAACAGAATTTTACAGTCACTGTTACACTCAAAGCTTTGTGCCTAGCTATGACTGTACTTTAAATCTACTGTTTTGCCCAGAACTTAGAAAACGTTATTTCATTCAAGCAATACACAGCCATAGAATATTGGGTGATATTAGGAAGCCTAATTTCTCATTAAACTTAAGAATATTATGAAATAGATCTCATCTTCAATATTTTAATTTCTAAAATAGGGGGAAACGGTATATACCTACTTTATAGAACTCCTTCCTATAAAAGTTAATTTTCAAAAAAGAGCTTTTTGAAAATCAGTTAATAAACCAAAGGGTATTAATTCACCTCTAATTTGGCAAACAAGTTGATGTACAAAAAATACTAAAGAAACAGTTGTATTCCAGAAAGTTAGTGATTATATCACTGTACAAGTCCAAAAACTAATGGCTTCCATTTATTTAAAGAGGATAACTTACTGCATAAATGAATGGTTATTTTCAGCTGATTTTAGGACTGTATACTTTGAAATAACTTTATATCTATATTTGGGTTTGGAAGTGCCAGAAAAAGGTTATTATAAATTGGAGATTTTCACATCTATTAAACATCAGAAAGTATCTTGAAATGATTTTAGGCTAGGGTGAATTAACATCTTTTAAAAACATCTTGGGTTTCAAGGGAGATAAATTGTACACAAAAGCAACTATGTGTCTAAAAGCACAATCGGTTTTTTTTTGTTGTTTTTGATCTTGCTTTTAATACATAGGAACTCCGAGTTGCCGCCAAGGAAAAAGAGGGCTCCTCTGGGAGATGTATGCTTACTCTGTTAGGCCTTTCATTCATCTTGGCAGGACTTATTGTTGGCGGAGCCTGCATTTACAAGTACTTCGTGCCCAAGGTAATATTAATGAAAGTTATTATATTTTGGATTACTAATGCTATACATTTAGCGAAAACAAATAATTATGTCGTGGTCCCCAGATAAATGAAGATTTAGGGAAAGTTTTCAAATTACCTTTTGGTATAAAATTGATTTGTCGGGCTTCCCTGGTGGCGCAGTGGTTGAGAGTCCGCCTGCCGATGCAGGGGATACGGGTTCGTGTCCCGGTCTGGGAAGATCCCACATGCCGTGGAGCGGCTGGGCCCGTGAGCCATGGCCGCTGAGCCTGCTCGTCCGGAGCCTGTGCTCCACAATGGGAGAGGCCACAACAGTGAGAGGCCCACATACCGCAAAAAAAAAAAAAAAAAAAAATTGATTTGTCTTCATGGTGATAATTGTAATCAATAATCCTCAGCTTGATAAACAGGACAACGAACTGATATGAGTTTGAGACATTATTCAAATGTCACGGGAGTGAGTGTTAGAAAGTTTTGATTTTCCCTTTTTGTCTTTTAGAGTACCATCTACCGTGGAGAGATGTGCTTCTTTGATTCTGAGGACCCTTCAAATTCCCCCCAAGGAGGAGAGCCTTACTTCCTGCCTGTGACGGAAGAGGCTGACATTCGTGAGAATGACAACATTGCAATTATTGATGTGCCTGTCCCTAGTTTCTCTCATAGTGACCCTGCAGCAATTATTCACGACTTTGAAAAGGTGGGTTTCTCATTCTTATAGGTATTTCTGAATTTTCTTTTTTTCGTAAGTTTATTGGTATTAAATCTGTTCATAAATATACAACTTTTTGCAGCAAACCCTTTTTCATTCTTTTGCTACTGAGTATACATTAGTTGATTTTGAAAGGTTGTAACTGCTTCTTCTAATGGTCTTTGGAAAATCTGCAGCATTGATACTCTCTTAATCATGCCTAACATTTTCCCCCTCCCCAACAGGGCATGACTGCTTACCTGGATTTGCTGCTGGGGAACTGCTATCTGATGCCCCTCAATACCTCCATTGTTATGCCTCCAAAGAATCTAGTGGAGCTCTTTGGAAAACTGGCAGTATGTATTTTGGATGTCAACTTTTTATATAAGCAATTACAAATAATTGCTTCCTCATTTTAAAAATTAATTATTTGGGCCAAAACATTCCATTTCACTAAAATAATTTTCAAATAAAAAATATTCTGTGAACCTAAACTCCTCTAAAAATAAACTCTATTTAAAAAGTATATCTGCTATAGGTGAGAAATTAAATAGCATTTTTAAGAATTTCTGTTTCAATCTTTTAAAAAAATTTTTTAGAGTGGCAAATACCTGCCTCACACTTACGTGGTTCGTGAAGACCTGGTTGCTGTGGAGGAGATTCGTGATGTTAGTAACCTTGGTATATTTATTTATCAACTTTGCAACAACCGCAAGTCCTTCCGCCTTCACAGAAGAGACCTCTTGCTGGGTAGGCAATTTATTTCTTCCTTCACCCTGTGTTGTTGAGACAGTGAAGGAGAGTAGGGGTGGAGTACGGGAAAAGTAGAGAGCAAATGTAGATACATTTTTATTTACACAAAAATGAAAAAGCCACTTTTATTGTGCATTTCCTCACAGGTTTCAACAAACGTGCCATTGATAAGTGCTGGAAGATTAGACACTTCCCCAACGAATTTATTGTTGAGACCAAGATCTGTCAAGAGTAAGAGGCAACAGAAAATGAGTATACTTAGTAACAGAAAGTTGGAGATTTATAATATGACTTCAACATTAAAGTGTGTGGGATACTCAAGATATTTACTCATGCATTTACTCTATGGCTTATATTAAAAAGAAAAAAATAACTACTAACCACTGCAAGCTCTTGTCAATTTTTAATTTAATTGGCACTGCTTGTTGTTTGAAACTGAAATGAAACAATTCTTATGTCTTTTTTTGAATTTATAGGGTTTAGATTTCTGAAAGCAGCATGAATGTGTCAGCTAACACCCTGACAATGAATTCCATCCTGTGTGTGTGTGTGTGTGTGTGTGTGTGTGTGTGTGTGTGTGTGTGTGTGTGTGTTTGTTGTTTGTGTGTGTGTAAGTAAGCTCTTTAATCATATGGTAGAACATGTTCTAAATTTAAAATATTTAAAATTGTTTTTGATGTTTTTGTGTAAAGCATGTCAAATTACTTAATATTATTAAGTGTTTTTCATTTTGTGCAACTTTCCTGAATTTAGAAAGTACATCTTTGCATTTCTGTCAGGTGCTCTGTAATAGGTCTGATTTATATGTAAAAAACTTTCATAAAGAAGTCATTTTCATTAATGCAGTGATTCTTTCTCACTGATAACCGTATTGTGAATTCCACAAAACTGTGTAAGTACTGAATGCTATAAGGAATTTAGGTTGTATGAATTCTACAGCCATATAATAAATTTTACCATATTTAACCACTAGTTCTCATTTGAGGGATACTTCATATGAACAATTTACATTACTTATTTAGCTTTGGTGTACCTGCAATAAATCTAAAATTATGAGCCTAGCTTTGCCTTTACTCCCACCTCTACACATTTAAATTTTATAATCTCATATTTTATACCCCTCTTTTGATATTATATCAATTACTCTTTTATAAAGACCCCATAATTAGCTTACATGTAAATTCAACTATTTGTTAAAAGCCTTCAGGACCATGGCAATTTCACAGCTTTAATGTGCTTCCTTTTTCATATAAATTTAAACAGTCATATACAGCTATAATAGATCACTAAGAACTAATCTTGGATAAGATGTTGATGACTTTTAATAACTTCACATGCTGTGATCTCTACTCTAAGAGTATAAACTCCATACAAAGGGGGCCAGTACTTTAGACACTTTCTTTTGTGTTAGGTTAAAAATTGTTCCTGATATCACTGATCATCTGCACATAGTGATTGTTGATTAATTTTGGTAGCTAAAACTGTACCCAGTCAAATCCATAACCTTAAATACTCTCTTAAAAAAAAAAAGAAAATACATTAACTAAATATTTTTCAAGAATTTAGAAATAAAGCAATTACACAAACCTTTAAAATGGAAAAAAAGCATGCAATAATTAGAAAACAATAACAGTAGCTGAAAAATTCAATAACTGTTTCTTAATAGAGAATGAGAATATTCAAAAGGAAGTTGATAAAATTATCCACCCATTCCTTGTATAAAAGTATAAAAATTAGGAAAAGGGAGATATGGTTTTTACATATTTATCTTAAATAGTCAGCATCATGACTAAAGATGATATTCAAGAAAGGATGCTGGTTATTGTAGCTATTCAATGCTGTTTTAGACATTCAGGGCAATGCATAATATGTGAAACAAATAGCAAGTATCAGTTTTTAAAAGGTGATGAAATTATGATTATTACCGCATGGGATTTTACATATAACACATTAGTGGACTAATTGGAAACTTTGAAAATCAATAAGAAGATTCTGTATAATATAAAGAAATGTCAATGGCATTTTTTTTTTTGCGGTACACGGGCCTCTCACTGTTGTGGCCTCTCCCGTTGCAGAGCACAGGCTCCAGATGCGCAGGCTCAGCAGTCATTGCTCTCGGGCCCAGCCACTCTGCGGCATGTGAGATCTTCCCGGACCGGGGCACAAACCCGTGTTCCCTGCATCAGCAGGCTGACTCTCAACCACTGCGCCACCAGGGAAGCCCCCAAAGGCTTTTCTTTATATCACCAACAACCAATTAAAAAAGTAATACAAACAGGTGAAAAATATTTTATTCATAATAGCAAAAGGGACATAAAATAGCACAGAACAAGAAATTTATGGATTATGAAGAAAACCATAAAACATAATTAAGAGATACAAAAGAGTTGAGTGAATGGAAAGGGAAGAAAGAGGATTACAAATAAATAAATTGTTTCCCAGTTAAATGTATTGGTTTAACCCCATTCCAACCAAAATTCCCAAAGAATGGCTTTTGCAACTTGACAAAATTATCTGAAGGTTCATCTGGAAGCGTAAATAGGTGAGAATAGCGAAAAAGAAAAACGAAAATAAAAGAGTCATTGGAGGGAGGATTTTCTTACATGAATAAACTATTAAACCACAGCCAAATTTACAATAAGTTTAAAGGTGACAGTCACACAAGTTAGAGAATACAATGCCAAGAGATCTTAGTGTGTAAAAGAACAGGATCCTAAAGGAAGTTCCATGCTGTGAGATACACTGTTTATCACATTGTGTTGGTAAAATGGCTAATGAAAAAATAAAACAAAAGTCCTAGTTGCTACAGTCCCCCAGATGGAACTTCTCCTAAATTTTCACTACCAAGAAATATTTTGAAAAATAGAAAGCCCTCAGAAACACTAAAAGTACAACTGAAGGAAAACCTGATTTTGGAATCTGTGAGGAATTAATATGTGACTAGACACTAGTTGTTCCATCATTTGTCCACTCAAAACCCAGGATTTGTATCAACCAGAGAAGCAGGCAGACATTTATCTAAGAGTTGATCTATGAAGCATAGTTATAGATTTCATACCTTGTGTTACTTTTTCCTTCTATCCATTCACCCACCCCCACATGATTATTGACTGCATTGATTGATTGATTGATTGATTTGCCAGACATTCCTTTAGGCATTAGGCATGTGTACAGTTGTGAGAAAAATAGATATGGACATCACACGTGTTGAGCATCTAGTCTCTTGTGGGGAGAAATAATTTTTTTTCAAATAATTTTACAATTTTGTTATAAAGAAAAAAATACAGAATGCTTATGAGAGTTTATAATAGAGGGGACCAATCTTGGGCTATTAATGAAGTCTTAATTAAGAATGTAAAATTTATACTGAGAGATGTAAATGAAGTAAATAAAAGAATATTTCAGTTAGAAAAAAGGGGGAGCTAAGTCTCTGAGGAAGGAAGAAGTGTGTTTGTTGGAGAAGGTGAAAGTAAGAGAGCCTGGAGTACACTGAGTAACCAGAATTGTATGAACAGAAGCTGGAAACTTAGAGTCCAGATCATGTGGGACTCTGCCGGGTATGTCAAAAAAATGCCATTAAAGTAATAAGAAAACATTGAAAGGTTTTAGTCAGGACCATGGAAAGGAACAGATTGGTATTTTTAAAAGATCGCTTTGGTTGCAGGACAAAAGGGAAGTAAGACCAGTTAGGAGGCTATTTCAGTAGTCCAGGCAAAAGATGGCAGTAGATTGGACTAGGAAAGTGACAATGATGAAAGAAAGAAAGAGAAGAAATTGAAGTATATTTTTGGTATAAAATTAACAGAAAATAGATATGGATTTGATATGTAGAGTAAGTGGTATCGAGTAAGTGGTATCAAAGGGTTTTTTTCATTGATGACTCCAAGATTTTTGGCTTATACACTTGGATGAAAGGTAATATGACTTGGCCCTGCAGATCCCATAACTTACTCAGGGTAGATAGGGGAAAATTGATACTTGATATGTCACTCAGGGTCTTGACAGAAAATAGATGGCACTTTCAAACAGTATAATGAAAAGGGATTAATAAAGGGACAATTTATTATGGTGTAAGAAAGGTTAATAGAAACCAAGTCTCAATGAATCTCACCAGGACTAGCAACACTGAGTAACACTTATAACCCCCCTAGCTTTGAATATTCAAGGGCAAATAATGATTCCCAGAACCTGAAAAGATTAGCTATAGATGAGAACTTTCTCTGACAGGACCAGTGTCCTTTTACCAGAGGTTAAAAAAAAAATACACAGCTCCTTTGTAAAAGAACACAGCCAATTTGCCCTTTAATCTCCTGATGGAGTCCCCCATGGGCCAGACTCAGCTATGAGCTAGAAGGAAAGGAGTGCATTGATTCAGTCCACAAAGGTTAGCCTCCTGGTTATGAGCAGAATGGGTAAGAGTGAAGAGTAGCTCTAAAGAGCAATGCAGGGAATATCCAGCAGGGCCAATTCATTTTTCTCCTCAGGATCCACTCTTATTGTTTGTCTAGATAAAATATTCATGTCCTCAACATGGAGAACACACAAATTCCCATCAGCTACCATCTAATTGCACAGTAGTGTCAATTCAATGATATTTCCACTGGAAAATAAAATCTTTGTAACCTCCATTACTCTTTATTTAAGGCAATGGGTGGTGGAAAGGAGGGAAAAAGAAACAAAGTAAAGCATAGTTTCTTCAGCTCCTGATTTCCTAGCAACTTATGAGTCCTAAACTTATAATTATAGTTTATCCTTCTACCACAAGCAATTCATTGTCCTCCTTTGCACTCTGTAGCACATTGGCTGGGTACGTTTTGTTTTGTCTGGTGGGATAAAACAAACCTTTATCACTGAAAGATCTGAATCTTTGACAGTCTTATATTTCTTGTAGTTTTTCACTGATTAGGGCTATTTGGCAAGAGAGTAAACGAGGCACCTCTGTGAATCCATTGAGTTCCAGTAGTGGTGCTCCTTGGCTTTATTGTGTAGCAGAGACCCAGTTTCCCCTTGGAAATCAGAATCAATCACCCCAGCCAACAAGTGATTCTTTCTGTGACTGCTAGCTCATGGGGCATCTCAAATGGCTAACAATCAGCCTCAGCTTCCAGTTTAATGAAACTATGACTCTTTTCCCTGCTGGAAGTGTTCTACCTTGGCTAGTAGGAATTTCAATATCATCAAACCCAATATTGTAGTAAAAGGAGGCAAAAATTCCTTCAATACATTGTTAGATATAAGAGTGAGAGGGGAAACTTCCACCTCCACCCATTGGTTTCTGGTTATGGGGCACAGGGGATCTTTTATTTACTGCAGCTTTAAAGTTGCTGTCTCTCAACTGGAAGAGTCTCGGAATC